TGTTGAGGAAGAACGACGTAAAAAAAAACTCTGAAGTAACTTAGATGTCAAAGGCCGCTGCAGTAGCGCGGCAGACCCACTTTGCTGAGCAGCAGAAGCGGCGTTGTAAGAGGCGTTTCAGGATACTTGTCTACCGCGAAGCCTCCCACTCGTTTCTTTTTTTTTCTTAATACTTCTTTTCCTCCTTTCCTTTTCTCCTCTCTCCTCTTTTTCCTCATCCCTTTAAACTCTCCACCATTAGATGTGATGAAAAATATCTCTGGACCCTCGCAAAGAGAAATGCTTGGCTGACAGAAGCCTAATGCATACCTTGCAAGAGGTGGGTGTCACTAGTGTAATTCGCGGCGGACGAAGGGGCGTGTCGGGCGACGTGAGTTTGGCGCAGTGTCAAGCCCGTTCTACACCGTTGTTTTAAGCGAGCAAGTGACAAGACTGTATCTATCGTTCGTATCACTCGTTTTCTACCAATTGTTGTCGCATACCCGCTTCAACAACTGGCAGAGAACGGGTTTGGCGCCGTGGCACACTCACACTGCCTGACACGCCCCTTCATCCACAGCGAATCAGAGTATAGCCGCATCAGGACCTGATTGATTCAGAGTGAAAATACTGTGTGTCTATTGAACCAGCTATGAAATGCCCTAATTCTCCGCGTTGTCTCAGTAAAGACCTCCCTCGCAGCACTCAAAGTCGCCGGTCCCTTCATATTAGTTCTAAGGTGTAAGCGTTTCAAATACTCGCCCAGGCTCGGGCGAGCTGCAAATTCTCACAATTTCCAACATCACATTTCTACATATCACTTATCAAGGTTAACAAGAACACCTACCATATCATTACTTTCTGTTCGCATGCATCGACAAACGTACGGCGTTAAGAGCGCCCGCAAACTATTCTGCACACCATCGTTATCTGGTGTAGCCTCTCTGCAAAAAAGCATAATATTTCCTTTGTCTATATGTCCTAGAAGATACTCAACAGAAGTGAATATGTAGGAAAAATCACCTGAACCCTGCCAAGCAAGCTAATGCTTCGCAGCTGACCCGAGCCAAACGATTCGCCATCGCTTGCTTGTTTGATTCTTCACTATGTGAAACACCTTAATGGTAAAGTAAAAGGTATGAAGGCACATGAAATTTCAGTATGAGCTCATTTCGTTGAACATGATGAAGTTTCGGTTTCAAAAGTACCAACCGCCTTCGTCAAGAGTGTAGTCGTAATGGAAAAGATGTGGAACAAGTTGCCACAGTACACCTGACTGGAACAATTGAGTTTGCAGCAAGGTGTCCACAGCCATCGAACAGACACATTGCGCAGCCGCCGATGACAAGCGGGGAAGATCCTGTACAAAAATGAGTCCAAACAATCAGTTTCAGTCAACTCACTATAAGCTTTCCTTGACTAGTACGGATGGTCCTACGTGATATCGCACTGTCTTTCTAAACCTACCGGAAATTGAAGCAATCGACATATATTGCCAAAGACAGTGGGCATCTCTGCGATACGTTGACGACATGCTTCAAAGCTCGCAGCTGTAGCAAAACAATTGCATATATGTTCGCACACCTGTAATTGCAAATTTAGAGATCATTTCAAAACCCAAATGCGCCAGCGCGCTAGATGTGGCGGAAAGCGGCTTGCACTTCACTGCCTCACTCTACGGAATGCAGGCCATATTTCAATGTAAGTTTTTCCCTAGGAATAGATTTGGGTAAATCCTCGGGACCGCGGGCAGTCCGACCCCTGGACACGAATATTACACTCAAATGAAGCAAAAATGTCCGGCGAGCAATATTCGTGTTCAGGGAGCCAGGATAACCCTAATGACAGGAATCTGACCCACTCCCGTAGGGGTTTCGATCGAAAATTGGTCCCAATTGCGAGGACGTGGAAGGGTAAACAGTTCCCGAATTACAAACTGACAGGTGGATAATCATCCACTCGGCTTAAACAAATGAATCAATTCACCTGCACAGCCATGTCTGTCGGTGTAGAACTCACTGTAATCACAGGTACACAGCGATCAAATGCGATTTGAAGAGCCTAAACAGCACAACTTATTTGTTTCGGAAGCAGTCCGGACGTCCGATACAATCCAGCATTGAGCGGAAACTCGGCAAAAAGTACTAGAAATTTCCATAAACGAAAATTTCCATAAACATGATCAATCTCATCAGCTGGCAATCGTAGAAGTTGCACAACACACTTATGATCTCCCCTGCTAGTTAAGTTACATTGCCCAGTTAGCATTAATGTTACAACTTTATTCGTGAACAAGTCATAAGATTGTTATGCCGTAGCAGGAATGTCTGCCGACAGCTGGTTGGGTTCACCCATATTTTCTTCAATTTCACTGTTTTTCGAATTCTGCCGCAGTTTTTCCCTGATTTCTTCCCTTCTCTCATTAAATCGCTGTCAGGTAACTCACCTCTAGGCCTTGCTCTCTTCGTAGCTGTTCAGCATTCAGAGCGCTGCTCATCAGAGTATGGTTCGCCAATTCAACAGCTGCGCTCAGTAATGCACCGCCACCTTCTTGGAAGAGTGAAGCGTTCTTTGCCTCCAGATCAATAGTGCGAATCAGTTGACCATATCCAGCGTATTTGTACGCAGACAGCTCTAAATCACCAAAAAAAATGAATGGCATGGAATAAGATGGGAATGTTCTGGTAGCGAGCGGCGCTGTCTGCCGCGTTTATCGTCTAGGGATCAAGTGTAAGGAAATTCCTCATCATAGCCTCCAAAGGGAATCTTAATTTG